TCTGTATAAATGTGGAAAAAGCAGCACAAGTCACAGGTTAGATAGACTTACGTGGCACTGGGCCGATCTAGAGGGGATTTAAATTAAGCTGTTTGTTAAGTGAACAGCAGTCTGGACATAAAATGTTCTTTTCTGTTTGTCACTGACAACAAAGCCACAGTCAGGATTCAGGATTCTAAACAATATAAATATAAACCTTTCAGGGTTATGCATCGCCTCTGTAGATGCTTCCAGACGTGTTTTAAATAAAAGAAAACTGAAGAATGATGTAGAAAATGGAGGGATGTGTGATCTGCTTTGACACAGTGTGTGTAGGAATGTGATAAACTTGTGGTCTGCTGTGTCTAAAACATCGTCTGCTTTCTGCTCCAGATCGTAGCCCGGTCCGAGCAGCCTCCACGAACCACAGCGAGTTTCACCTGTCCAAGGAGGAGAGTGGACTCCACCTCATCAGCCAGGCCGAATCCAAGGACAGCAACAGCTTGGACCAAGTGCACCTGGAGCAAGTCACCTCGTGTTGATGCCGACTCTGAGATGTTCAGTCTGATGATGTGAAAGTGATGGTGTCACATGTAGACGTAGAGACGTGTGCTCAGGTTACAGCTGTGGACTCGCTGAATAGTCGGAAAGTGGAAGGTTTGACTCCAGTGAGGGAAAGTAAAAGACCAGAGCTGGTCCTGACATCGCTATTTATTTATTCTATTTTATTTTACCAGGTAAGTTAGTCGAGAACTGGCTCTCATTTTCAGTAACAACCTGGTCAAGTTGTCGCTGTTGAGGCGTCCTTTAGCAAAGCAACTCCGATCGACTCGAGTAGAGCTTCTGAGCAGAACAAGAGTGGTGAGAAGAAGACTAACGAGGAGCAACTTCAGGGGCCGCTGTCCGCCTGAAATGTGCCTATAAAGGTTATTTTTGATGTATTTTTTTGAAAAGCATTCGTTTTTGTATTTACAACAAGCCTACCTCTCTTCTTTGTCATGTGAGGGATAATTAGGGGCGGCTGTCGATGACGTCTTCTGCCTTAACGAATGTATTCTAATCCCATTTAATTTGTCTGTGGAGGTTATAAAACATATCGCATGTGATCCACCCACTCAGTCAGTCAGTCGGGGCTCATTAAAGTCCCTTAATGAAACAAGAAATTAAAGAATTAGGGTGGCTTGTTTTGTATCTGTGATAAAATGTAAATGTAATTTGAATAATTTTATGTTTTTTCATGGATTTGCTATTGATCAGAAACTGTCGATCAGATGGTTATTGATTGACTTAAATGTAAAATATTTAATTTATACTTTGCTTATTTTAACTATAATGCGCACACTTTAATTACAGTCCTATACAACTGAATGATTTTGGTTTTGTGAATGATTTTCATCATGATGACGTACAAAATAAAATCATTATATGTGATGTATACACGTTTTCTGTTCGTTTTTAAAAAATAAGATGTAATATAATAATATTTGGTCATTTGTAAACACATTTCTTAAAACGTTCTTATTTTCTAATGTATATTTTGTATATGAATAAATAAATAAAAAAACAGGTCCCTGTTTTATATATAACCTACATTTTCCTTCAACCACATCAAACCAACAGACCAAACATCATTACATAAGCCCAGAAAAATGGCACGTCACTGATTATAATCCTGGAACATGTAAAACAATTATATTTGATCAGCTGGTTGCACAAGAGAGGACGTGACCTCGGCTCAGCTATAATCATGTTATTAGCTTCTGGGAAACTTGTGGTAATCAAACATGAGCAGATGTTTCCAGAATTGAAGGAGATGTTTTCTGTGTTTAAAAATGTTCAGATGAAAGTTTGTACATCGTGTGCCAACATGAGAAAACTCTCATTACAAGGAGAAATGTTTGTTTTGACAAATATTAAACTGTGGTTTTGGCTCAAACGTCTTTATAACAGCAAGGAAATGTTTTTATTTAATAACTAAAATATGAAAGTGAGATGAGAAAAGCTTCAATAAAATCATTACATGTGATATAAATATAAATATATATGTCATAAAGAGGAAATAATGAGGCTGTGAGTTGTACATACACTGACTAACAAGCTGCTTTTAGTCATTTCCAGACACACTTTGTGCTGTAAAAGCTTCTTATGTTTTAATGTAAATATTGTACAGGCTTTTGTATGAATGCAGCCTTTATTGTCTGTGTACAATGAAATTAAGCAGTAATCCTGTCAGTTCACATGAATGGTTTTCCTTATTTAAAAGTATAAGAAATGTACACATATAAAACCTAAAAGTATAGTTAGAAATAGTTTTACAGGTGCAGCCTATGAATGCAGTGACATAGTTTGTCGTGGTGAGGAGGATAGATTGGTGCATCAAGAACACTATAAAAACAACATTAGCTTCTGCCGCAATATTAGCGAACATCTAACAGCTATGATCCTGTCAATAAATGCTGTGAACTCAGTGTATTAAAAGGGGAAGGTTTTTTTTTGTTTTTTTTAAACTGATTAAAGTGTGGAAAGTTCTGTGGATGAACTATGGAGCAGTGAGAGTGCCAAATTACAAAAATAAATCAATAAAAGAATAATAAAGTAGAAGTGGAAATAAAAAGAAGAATAAATAAAACAAAAAAATAAATAATGTGGCAATGTTAATCAAAAATGAATCCATAAAAGAAAAGGCTAACAAAAGTAGAAATATAAAGACAAATAAATGAAATAATAATAATTTTACTTTTTATTTATTTTATTTATTTATGATTAATTTTATTTTTGTTTTACATTTTTTATTTATCCATTTTTTATTTTTTAAATTTTAATTTTTTCATTGTTGTTTTTATTTATTTATTTTTTTTATTTTTATAATGTCACTTTAACAGCAAAGAAAATATGCGCAGAAAAATGTGCACAATAGCACACATTTTTCTGCACACATTTCCTTTGCTTTTAAAGTGACATTAGAAAAAATAAAAAACATTAAAAAAAATAAAAATAAAAATGAAAAAAATATAAACGAATAAAAATAATACATTTTAAAAATTTGAATTTTTTTCATTGTTGTTTGTATTTTTTATTTATTTATTTGTATTTTTATAATGTCACTTTAACAGCAAAGGAAATATGCGCAGAAAAATGCGCACAATAGCACACATTTTTCTGCGCACATTTCCTTTGCTTTTAAAGTGACATTAGAAAAAATAAAAAACATTGAAAAATAAAAATAAAAATGAAAAAAATATAAACATAACAATAATACATACAATACTATACATACAATAAAATAAAACAATAATAAATTTTAAAAATAAATAAATAAAATAAATGGATGAAAAATATATAAAAAACTAAGAATAATAATTACTATATATTTTTTATTTGTCTTTATATTTCTACTATTATTGGCCTTTTCTTTTATGGATTCATTTTTGATTAATATGGCTTTATGTTACTACATTATTTATGTTTAATTTTATTTATTCTTCTTTTTATTTCCACTTTTATTCCATTATTCTTTTATATGTGTTTATTCTCTCACTGCTCCACACTGAACATCCCGGATGACTATAAACAAGCGTCCAGGTGGCTGTAGTACCAGCCTGCTCCGGCGGGGGCGCTGCGGAGCGGCTCCGGGCTGACTGGTCATATGACAGCTGCTGGTGTCCCACTTCCCTTCCCCGCTGGAAAACGCCACATCTGACGGGGAGGGAGAGACAGACAGCACCGCGGGGGAGTGTAATCACCGACCACAAGATGCTGGCGCTAATAAACCGGCTGCTGGACTGGTTCAAGTCCCTGTTCTGGAAGGAGGAGATGGAGCTGACGCTGGTCGGCCTGCAGTACTCCGGGAAAACAACCTTCGTCAACGTGATCGCTGTGAGTGCTGCTGCTGCTGCTGCTGCTGTTAGCCACCTTGCTAGGATCCTGCTAATAGCGCTAATAATGGGATAGCAGCCACCGAGCTAGCTAGGCTAACTCACGCTGGCTGGTTTAGGGGTTTAAAAGCGATGTGAGCTCACTGTGCCGGAGCCGCAGCATCCCGGAAACACACCTGCTGCTCGGTCAGGTCGTCGGTGTCTAGTCAACAAGTCAGCTGAGCTAGCTAGGTGGCTGCTAGCCGGCTAGCTGGGTGGTTGTTGTCATGTTTCCAGGCTAAAGCCAAAACCAAAACGCAACATAGGGACGTTGTTTCTTACTTTGAACCTACAGGACTGTTTTCCATGAGCTGTAATGCAGCCAGAGGTTTGGTTTTTGTTTTTTGTTAGCAGGAAGTTGGCTGAAAACATGTTGACAGTGACAACAACAGCACTGATCACACACTGACTGAGAGGCTTTGGCACAAATCACCTGCGACTGGTGATGCACGATATTCACATTTCTGGCCGATATTAAGATTTCTGATATTGCCGATAACCGATATTACCGATGTCGATATTCAGTTTTTGTTCACACCGTAAAATGAGTATCAGTAAGCACTGTGAGAAAGCAATTCAAAAGAAGCCCAGATTAGACCTCATAGTCTTTATTACGTAACGTAAGTAAAACATATTTAAACATGTTAGTCAACGTTCAAGTCCAGGTGCCTTTATGTAGAAACATCTGTGTAATAGCAGTGATATCAGACGTAGAGACAAAGGCGCTAACTTTAGACAGTCATCACCGATATCGGTATATGGGGAAAAAAAACCCTAATATCAGCTGATACCGATGATGTGGTTGCTGCTGTATCCTGCATCCCTACCTGCAACAATAAGAAACTGACCTCCACTCGAAAATAAAATTTCACTTGATGTCATCGTTTCATAGTTTTTCACAAAAATGCCAAAAAGGACATGATGTCAGTCTTGGTGTTGATGCCTGAATAGAGGTGGTCAGAAGCCTAAAGGTCCCTGAATGCAACACACAGAAAACAAGAGCTTTTGTACATCATTAAATATAAAAATAGATGCAGCAGGAAGACATGGCTGCAGCTAATTTAATGCAAATTGTGATAAAGGAGCAGAAACAGATCGTATCTTGTGCTGTGACCTTCTGGGAGAGCAAAGTGGAGGCAGGCCTTCATGTGTGTGATGCAACCTCTTGGTAGGGGTTTCTCAAAAAAAACTGCTTTGAGTGGTGCAATTTCCATTGTCTAATCATTAGACTGTGGCTTGCAGCAGCGTGTTGTGAAAAACTTTGGTAACAGCGATGGTGGATCTCAACATCTAACAACTTATCATTGATGCAGTGTGACGGTGTTTCAGTGGTGCAGCGTTTTAGCTTCCAGTAGAAATATGCTCGGCTGAATTGGATCTGATCAGAAGGGGTTAATGCACATTTACAATACTGCACATTTCACTGTGAATCTTTTGCCTGTGACAAATAAAACATCTGGAAGAAATAAAGACTGATAGAAGAAGTCAAGAATGTTTTTGTACTTGAGGAATATGTACCAAGGCCGAGGAGAGCCAGTGGACTTCATGTAGACCTGTGTTCTCAGTTATACTGTGTTTCTACAGGATGTCTTAAACAGGTTGAATAAATTTAATTTAATTTATGTGAGGCGTTTTCTATTTGTGCCAAGAATCTGTTGATGAATTAATTGGTCAGTGCTTAAAAAATCAATTACAAGAACAACTCTTTTGTTGGATTTAGTCTGCTTTTCTTTCTTGGTTTCAACAACACTAAACATTTATTCGTTCAAGCTTCTAATTTGGGAGGTTTTTCTGCTTTTATGTTGTTGGTCGATCAAAACAAGCCATTTGGAGACATCAGCGTAGCCTTTAGGAAGCTGTAAGAGGCTTTTTATACATATTATATCACAAATTATGATTCAGTTCATAAAGAACTGTATTAATAGGTTAATGAAAGGGGTTGGTACCTAAGTGATTTAAAGACACAGACATATCCTGTGTTTCAGTAGCACGGTCTGCAAAATGCACATCTAGCTGTCAAACTGGATTTCCGTGCACACGACACATCGAGTAACAGGATAGCTGTCAGAGGAGGAAGTTGGGTTTTTGGGTCAGAATGTAAAAGCTGAGAGCTGCTTCCAGCTACTGACACGGAGTTTCGAGTGCATGAATGGTTGTAGTGGGGGCGGCTCCTGCTTCCTCAGTCATAAGACCGCTGCACTCATTTCCACTTAGCTCCATCAGGTGACGAGTCATGTGCTGCAAAATGTGTGTTCACTGAGGTTTACAAAAAAAGGGGAATGGACGGGGAATATTAGCAGCTTGTGAAATTTGATATCAGACGGCAATGGCACTAATTCTGCGGGAGGGTTTTTTTTTTCCCACTTCTGTCTGATTGCAAGATTCACAAAATGATTCACTCTGTTGTAATAGAGCAACAGTTGTCTTTTTATGTGGACATAGTGACACATAAACTAGATTCTGAGTCATAAATTGCAGAATGTTGTTTATTATCCCTTCTCTGCAATAAAAGTCTCGTTTAGACGCCTTTATGCTTTGATAACGGCTCATGAATAAGTCAAAAACAAACTTTAAACCACAACTCTGGCTTCAATAAGGTTTTATTTT